CAGCCTGATCACTCTCTCCCATCAAGGCTGTTTCTCAGTCTTTGTGCTCAAGAAGGCATCTCCATGCTTATGCAAGGATTAATGGATCCTTTAGGAAATTGTTGCCCGATCTGGAAAAAGTCATCTGAAGAAATATGATGAAATGATCTAATGATCTGAAAGTAAGGACATTGCTTTTGGCATTATTGGGTTAAGATGACAGACATAATTCTTAGGGATCTCACTAATGCTTCACATTCCTGTTTCATTAAGTTATAATTTAGCCTTCTGGGCAGAGCATTGGATAGCTGTGAAATAGCATATGGAGGAATCACATGCCAAGGTGAACAAATATTTCTATTATCATTTCCCCGTGTCATGTAAACATGGGTAATGCTGCTATTTCTAAGTTACTGCTTTAGGTGTTGTTTAGTTGACCGGCTTTGGGGATGGCATCTTCACCTGAGCAGCTTCTTGGGCTCTGGATTTACTCAACAGACATGTTATTTCTGTAAATGCAGTCTCAGTCTCATCCTTGAATTTTAGGCTGTAATTTAGCCCACTTTAAAGCAGAGGACCACATTTGGTCTCATTGACTGCACTCTAAATTCCACTTACTGGATCTCTGCCACAGATAAAGGGACTGAGGGGGAGGGATTAACTCAGGTGCTGGCACCCTGGAGTCAAGTAACCGTGGCACCCTGGAGAGTCATTGTTGCTGAGTTAATTAGCCCATCTGAAACGCTATCAGAGAAACCATGGGGAAGAAAGCAGCCGTTGTCTGGGCCTGTTGTCCTCCATCATCTGCCAGTGCTCTCTTACCTCTATTAGACATTGTTTGATGACCAGCTTCCAGCCTCAAATGAGACACAACATAGCCTTGGACTTCTGGTAATTCACAGTGCCCATGAACCAGTCTAAGATGGCATGGAGGAAGGAAGGGCTGAATGGACTGTAAATTTCTTTTCATTTTCATTTCACCAGTAATTCTTTTTCAACCCATATCACTTGCTCAAAAGAAAGTAGGCTTTCTTTATGCTAAAAGGCAGAGCAAGAAGACAAGCATTAACTGTCTTGGGAAGCAGAAGGCTTCTAAATATTCTATTTTTCCAGTTAAAAAATAGTGTAATCAATACTATGAACTTCTTACTAGGGTCCCAAGTATCCTTTACCATAGTATAACTTTTTAAATGCAGCCAAGAGTAGTTCAATCTAATCTAACTTGTGTTGTTTAAATTAACAGCCAGTCACAGCCAATTTTGCCTGTGACGTCAATTTTTTCTCAGGCACTATTGTCCTTGCTGTTAAGTCCATTGGTAGCAATGCCACTGAATATTGCCTGTTGCACTGGTCAGCATATCTGGATTAGATTTTTGAACTTCTACGTTTAGCATCTGAATACCACGATAGAGCCAGCGACTCCAAAACCTATTGAAAGAACAGAGAATGGATTGCTCGCTTGCATGCATTTAGGTCACAGGAGGCACTGGAAAAATGTTTCTTACCTGTCTACTCTTAGCAAGAGCTGAATTGTCAAATGGCGATATTGTTAACAAAGCACGGAGGCCCAAAATGCTTATCTCAGTTACAGCTGAAAAAGAATATTTGGAGGTCTGTTAGAAAAAAAGAGGCATCTTGGATAGACTGTCCTTTCCTCCCCCACTTTATCTCCTCCCTCACAAAGAAGTGACCTTTTAAAATCTCTTATCTAAAAGCTTCAGTTTAAAGAGCCGCTGAGGCCTCTTGGAAAACACTGAAAAGCTCTTCAGCAACAGTTCTGCTACTCCCAGTGTCCTGGGTTCCTTTCTTCCCTCTTTCTCTTTCGTTGCTTGATAAATTTGCATTAGAAAAGGCTGTTCCTTAGCAGCTTCCCTGTTTACTGAAGTCACAGTTTGATGCTTCAGCAAATAGCTGTTTTTGCAGTGTTTGGGTTAGAGCCACCCATAACATCTTCTGGTGAAGTGACTGGTGTAGAAGTGACTAAATGAGATTTCTCTTGGCAGGCCAGATTTTGGGACTAAGGAAAGGCCAAGTGGATCAAATGTTCCTGAAGTTTTCAATATCTAGGCTGAGCAAATTTGAGGGATGAATTTGCCTAATTAAGGCTCTTCTGGTGTGACCTGCAAGTGCAAAGCTTCCCGGCTGCTAGAGGTTGTGTCCTCAAAAAGCCACACTCAAACTGAGAAATTTGGATCTCTGGTCAAGAAGGCCAAACGTCCATGTGTTTCAACGGTGACTACCTAAACTGTCTCGGAAAGACTTTTGTGGGCCAGTCTCAGGGGAAGGGAAGTGTATTTTTTTCATATTTGTGAGGCAGGAGAATTAATCTGGTAATTTAATAGACTTTAGGGCTAGAGGGAGTCAATGCCCCTTCTTGCCTTGTTAGACTCTTGCAGAAACTAACATGGTTGAAGTATAGTTGATTGAATGGCAATGGATAAAGCAGTATACCACAGACTGTTTCATTCCTAATGAGATCCAGTGGTTGATGACATGCTGTGGGAAAGAAGGCCAACCACAGACTGGCTTACATTACCAAGAGTGCAGTCAGCAGGATGAGAGACGTGACCTCTATTTGGCAGTGGTGAGACCACATCTGGAGTGTCATATCCTGTCTGAGGATCTTCATTGCAGGACAGACACTGACATACTGGAATGAGTCCAGCAGAGGCCACCAGAGTCTGAGAACGTGAGATACGAGGAGAAGCTGAGAGCATCAGGTTTGCTCTGCCCGGAAAAGAGAAGGTGAAGGGGTAATCCTACTCTTATCTACAAGTATTTAGTGGGAGACTGTAGAGAAGACAGAGTCAGGCTCTTTTTGGAGGTGCACAGTGAAAAGATGAGACAACGGACAGAAATAGCAGTAAGAGATATTCTACTTTGAAAAAAGAAAAAGATTCTTCACCATGTGGGTTGTCAAACACTGCACCAGGCGGGTGCAGGATCTCTGTCTTTGAACATATACGAACTCAACTGGACAAGGACATAAGCAACTTGGTTTGGGCAGGGGGTTGAACCAGAAACCCCAAGGGTCCTTTCCAACCTCTTTTATTCTATGATTCTAATTTTTCAAATGTTCTTTTTGTGTGTGTGTGTGTGTGTGTGTGTGTGTGTGTGTGTGTGTGTGTGTGTGTGTGTGTGCATGCGTGTGCACGCGCGCGCACCCTATTCACACCTTGTTGACTTCAACTTCTTGTCACAACACTTGCCACATCACTGCTTGCAAAACTGAAATGCACTCTGCTGTCTTTCCTGTGAAAGTGCTTGATACAGGATTGTTTCCTTCTTCATGAACTTCTTTTATTTCTCACTGCACAGCACGTTTCTCCAGAACAGCAATAAATATTAGTGGTGCTGTGAGCCACTGATGCTGCTCTTTCAGGTGGAAGAAAAGTAAAAGGGGTTTTAACTGCCATGCAGGGTGTTTGTACCACCTGAAGCAAAATACTAGAAGCACCAGTGGTCACCACAGGGAAGGAGAGACTGTTCATTAGAATTGTATCAGCATAGCTGTAATACAGAATCACAGAATCACACAGAATGGTTGAGGTTGGAAGGGACCTCTGGAGATCATCTAGTCCAACCCCTCTGCTCAAGCAGGGTCCTCTAGAGCATATTGCCCAGGATCACATCCAGGCAGGTTTTGAATATCGCCAGGGAAGGAGACTCCACTACCTCTCTGGGCAACCTGTTCCAGTGCTCAGTCACCCTCACAGTCAAGAAGTTTTTTCTCAGGTTCAGGTGGAACTTCCTGTGTTTCACTTTGTGCCCATTGCTTCTTGTCCTGTCACTTGGCACCACAGAGAAGAGGCTGGCCCCATCTTCTTGACACCCTGCCTTCAGATACTTGTACACATTGATTAGATCCCCTCTCAGTCTTCTCTTCTCCAGGCTAAACAGGAGTAACCTGGTGACAGGATTTAGTTCACCAGGTCAGAGTGTTCTAGTAGAACAATTCAAGGATTCAGTACCAATTAGCTTTGGTATATTTATCTGTCGGATTTACAGACTTTCAGGAAAGACTATATGTTCTCTTCACAAGACCTTTGGTGCCATGGTGCCGTATTGCTGAACGCAAGTCATAAATCTCATCTTAGTGATAGACCTTCAGCCCTTTTCACCTGTTATTGATCCCTGGACCTCTATAGACCAAACGCAGTTAATACCAGAGGAGGATCTGTTGAGTCAGTTTTCATTTTTCTGTCATGTCAAGACTTTTCATAAAAATTGTTGCTTTATGGCCCAGTCTGACATGCCAAGCATATGGATGCTTTGGGGGGGATGAAAGAACTTAAGTTCTTGCAAAGCAAGGCTCATCATAAAGGTGTTGTTGACAGTTAGCCATCAGCTTCTGCCGCCTCCTGCAGTCTGAATGGATGTGATGACAAAGCCATGGCATCCCACAGTTTAGCATCTTCTATACAATTCAGTTTGGATCACTTTCTCAAATAAATTTTTCATGCAATGACTTAAATCTCAGCAAGTGAGAAGGTGTCGTCAGATTGAAAACTCAGGCAAGAAGCACCACCTCTTTGGCATTGCCCTTAACAGCTGCTAGACTGCTTTATCCTTCTTTTTGAGGAATGTTTCTTGATCTCACCTCCAGTCTTCCTCTCCAGGTAATCCAATAAGTGATGATGGCCTATCACTAGAGGATTGTTAGTGATGAGTGGCTGTAAATCACAGTCATATTAGACTCTAATGCTACACCTTTGAGTGTAGCAGCTGAGATTTCTTTTGCTTGGTCTGCAGTTCTGCCAGACTTTACCTGGGTGCCGAAGTCCTGCACAAAAGCATTTAGAATCTATCTGTGGCTGGAGTTTATGAAAATATAGCTTTTCCAGATCCACATAGATTAATTTTATATTTTTGTGTGATTAATTTTATACACACACACACACACACACACACACACACACACACACACACAAAGTAATATTGCAATATTAAAAATTATTAATATCCATCTATATGTACACAATATTTTTGCTACAAATGCTTTATTCTCTTGAATCATACAATCTAAATAACTTCATAAAAATGCCTTTGCATTATTTGTGCTTCATTAGAAATAGTGTATGCATTTGTGCCTGATGTTTCTAATATATTTGTATCCTTGTTTGGCATCAGTATTTACAGACGGCTCTGCGCACCTGGATGAAGTACATCTGGTATGCAACACTATCACAGTTTGTAACAATAGCGGTGGCATAAGAGCTGATGATCAAAGTTCTGACACCTAGAAATAGATATTGCAGTGGCAATGTTTTCAGTTTTGCAGGACTTTGTCCTGTCCCTTACGGATTCATCGCAACCTTTGAAATAACAGAGGGAACCGAGCGCTCAGGCTTTGAGACTATATTTCTAGCAAAAGCATATGGCTGAATAAAAGCCGACCTGAGCTTCCTTGGCCACTACAGTGCTTGAGGAAGTCCATGCATTTTAGTGATGACATACGATGTTTCTGCAGATTTAGCAGTTACGAGGCTTCTGGGCTGCGATACTCCCAACTCCCCAAACCACCCATCGGGCAAATATATCTTCCCTCCACCACAAGGACAGCAGGGGAGATGCTTTCAGATATGTCTCGGAAAAGGAATTCAAAGTCAAATGTCACTTTTTCTTGTGTTTAATCAGGATGATTCTGAGGTGTCTCTCCATAGTTCTCTATTCAGACTACAGTTTTATGTTTAGGGATGTAACCACAGTCTAGTCTTGTTATTTGCAGGCTTGTAAGATTACTCTGAGATAAGCACAGTATTTTTCCAACTGAACTGTTCCACCCACTATTGCAGCCCTGTGAACCTGAGCAGCATCGAAGCAGCTGTTAGTGATACTGGTTGGTTTTAGGCTCTTTATTAGGGGTGATGTCTAAGGCAGAAAGAGCAAGCCAAGATCCCGAGCCTAGACCATGGTATCTAACAGCAAATACCCACCTTTTGTTGTGAGGTGGCATGCTTGTTCACCCTGGCATCGTAGGAGGCAGAACCCTAAACTCCTTCTGCTAAATAAAAAGTGCCAGGGTTTACAATTGCCTGCCAGAGAGCCATCCCAGCTGGATCCTAGGGCAGGACCGTGCTGCTGCGACACTGTGGTTTAACACTTACCAGAGGCTGTGTCACTGAAAGCATCTGTGCAGAGTACAGAGATGGGGCATTGGGCTGATTTATGCTCATGGCAGACAGGGCCACTCCACCTCTCTAATCAGCAGTATCCTCCCGGAAAAAAAAAAAACTGTACTGGGAAGGGGAATCAGACAGGAAAGGGCCATCATGGTCCATATATTCAGGTCCTACAAGCTGGGTGTATTAGAAAAATTTCCTGGCCTGCAGCTTAATGCATTTCAGGAGACACAGTAGGTATCTAGTCCTTTTACTTGTTGTGATTATGCACTAGCGGGAGATCCTGGGGACCATAGCTGGTGTCTCACATTTTATCCCTGACCTGTCCTTTCCTCCTGTTGTTTTCAATCACAGAAATCATCTGTAGAGCTGCTCAGAAAGCATGGACCAAATAAAGCCAGTGCTAGGCACCCAGAGAAGGACATTGAGGGCCAGCTGTTGGAAGGTTACCATTGCTGCTGCCATTGTGGGTAGCATGACAGCCCTCTACCTGGGGATCCTGCTGGGTGAGTGCACAGCTGGGTACGTTCTTTCAGTTTACCTGTTCCAATAGAGAAATGGTCTGCATATCTCACAGGCTTAGAGCAAAACCCTCAAATGTCTTCTGCTGAGGACAAAATATGGACAACTCACTCCACATACACACACACACATGCTGAATGGTATGTAGTTACCTCACATTTTAAATGGTATTTGATTCTAATACACTTTATCTTCAATGTTGCATGTGATCTATTCCTCTGTAATTTCCCCCAATGACGCCCAGACTTCTTGCAGCTGGAACTCGCTGCCCTAGCCATCTCCCATTCACTGCCCCATTCAAGAGCACAATCACTGTCTCCTTGGCTCCCTCACTTCCCTCTTACTGCCTCTGGCTCCCCTTTGCCAGATGCTACCCCAGTGCAGCGCCTTGTACATGCTTTACAGCACCTGACATGCCTAACAGAGCCCACCAGCACAGCTCTACTCTGTAGTAACCCTGTATAAGCTGATGCACCTTGGTGTCTGTGAAGAAGGGGGTCTGGGCTCCATCCAGCCCTGCTCTTCCTCACTGCATTCTCATACCGCTTGAAAGTCAGGCCCTACTCAGCCAGGACCTTCAGAGCTAGTGCCCTTAGCCAGGAGCACAGAACAGCAAGGATAGGACCAGCCTGGACTTTCACACCCAGGCTGCATCCATCTATTCCTGAAACTTTGTCTGAGGCTCAATAACATTCTACAGTTTTAAAATTCAAATTAGATACAGATTCAGAGCAAAATTTTCCTCTTGGTTGTGTGTGGGGTAGTCCAGCATGGCTGTATGGCACTCCCAATGCATCACAGCGGTGATCAGGGACATTCAAGCTGCTGAAAATCAAGGGGGTTTAAAGGACATGATGAGATCTACGTTACAAAGCAGGTAGTGAGCCCCCCTCCTCAAACCTCCATGTGTCTTTTGTGCCTCTGATAGAAACTTTCCCTCTCTGGCAGCCTGTCATCCTTCAGTAGAGACCAGCTTTGAACACACAGTGGAGCTGAGAGGAATAGCATTCAACAGCAGCTTGCAAATGGAAAACTCGGACTATTACAGGGTGCTGACACCTGCTCTCGAGAGGCTGGTGAGTTGAGCCAGGCTAGCCATACACACTGCAGCTCTGCAGTCCCAGGCTCTGCACGAGGCAGAGCTGGGAGACTACTGTCTAGCCCACACTCTTGTCATCGCTCAGTTCCCCAGCTGAAATCCCTCAATTCATGCTTGGCTGTCCTCAGCCAGCAGAATCTGCAGAAAATGCCAAGAGCAGGAAGAGAACAGGCATTTCAAATATTGACAGGCAACAGTGGGTGCTGAGCTGCACTTTGAGAGGCCCAATCAGTTAAAGGGCCCCTGAGAGACATTTGTGGACTGGGAAATGCGGGCTAAGGTCTGTTCCCTGCAAAAAAAGAGGTGGTGGGAAGGTGTAAAGAAGTGATGTGCTGTCTCATGCCCTAAGCCAGAGTGGGAAAAAGATTACACACGCTCAGGTGAGATTGACTGAGGAGCTCCTGCTAGCTGTGAAGACAAGAGGAGATGCTTCAGATGTCTCCAGCTCCCTGTAGAATCTCAGGCATCATCTAGTCCTGTCTTCCTCAGGTTTTCTGTTTGGGGAAAACAAGGTGAGTGTATGACCATTGTTCTTCACTTTGCAGTTCCTATCCAGTTTTCAGGACTCCCAGCTGCACTCGAGCTGCACTGGTTGCACCATCCTGGGCTACAGGTGAGTAGCTGCTCTCCCTTCAGACTGTGCAGGTTACCACAGATATGTGATTTTGGTGCTCTGAAACATATTTTTATGTTCAAAACAAGTGAAAAGAGAAATTTTTTTTGGTCAAAGCTAGATTGTTTCTGGGATTACACAAATGTTCTGGATTCTTTCACTCAGAAATGCAGTCAGAAAGGGTGAAGAAAGTGCTCTTGTTCAATCAAAGTTGAATTTTGGGCCAAAGAAGAAGAGCTGAATAACAACTGCAGCTCAGACCACATCACCAGAGAATCTTGGCTCATGAATAATTGACAAGTAGTTGTGTTTCTCCAAAGTTCTCTGTGGGCCACTAGCATAGAAGCTGAGGCTAGTCAAGCATGAGGCTTCTCCCTTTTACTGACCACAGAGCAAAAGTGCCCAATGAGTCTCTTTGTCTTCCAATAGGAATGGAAACTCGAGTGTGATTGTCCGTTTCCGCCTCCGCTTTGGCCCCCAGGATTCCCAGCCTCTGAGCTCTACAGTGGAGGAAGAAGCTCTCAGATATGGGCTGGCTGCTGCCCTGCGTGAGCAAGGTCTCTCCCTGGCTGCCTATGGGACTATATCCTCAGCTTCCCTTACAGGTATGCTCCTCCCAACATTGCCAGGCAGCCAGAGCAAAGTGCCCCATGTAAGCACTGCTATCAGCACAAATCACACTAGCAAAATTACAAACCATTTCTCAAATAGCCAAACTGGCTCAGGGCTTTAGCTTTAGCTGCTCAATCAATGCTTCATGCCCAGCGGCAATGCTAGAAATAAAACTGCTGTCAGGCACCCAAGCCTCCAAAAGATGCTCTACCTGCCTCCAGGGTGAACCAGCTATGCTGGCAGCAGGAACTCCTGCCTTCTGGAAAGATAGAAGCTCACTTCATCATTTCACTTCCAGTCTCTTTGCAGACTCAGGAGATAAGCTCCAGCCATGAGAGAGCTCAGTACTGCGAGTGAAGGCAGCCCTGCTCCCCTCACTTTACAAGGCAGCAGCAAAAATATGCTTAGCTCTTGGTAGCTGCTAAACAGACATTCATGGGGAGTCCACAGCTCCCCCTCCTCCAATGCTAATACTATTCTGCTGCTTTCTGCCCTGCAAGAGCAGCCTCGCGGGTTTGGGGCAATGACAGAGCCTGAAGCATAAATTGTAGCTTCTTCAGCTTTTCTTGCAGCACCTGGAACCAGCCTGAGTAGCTCACACCTCAGGAGGTTGAATGCCAGATTGTCTATAGCTACAACTGTGCAGCAGCTCTTATACAGTCATGAGAGCTGTAGCAATAATCCGTGCTTGGGTAGCTATTTCTCATATTCAAGTTGTTCTCTGAAACTGCCTGGCTAGAAATTCTCCCTTCTTTCAATGAGTTCTGAGTCACATGTGTTCTTAGAACTCCAAGTCCAAGGGATTTTTTTAAAAGCGCCTGGAAAACACATAGCTTCTGGGCTCCCCAGCAGTCACCTCCACACTCACTGCAATGGTGGGCAGGCTCCTGGCCTTCTGGGAGCATTGCTCAGCCATCTCCAGATGTAAGGTGCACAGAGGTACCTTGGCTTTAGGCAACTGCCATGGGTGGCTCCAGCTTTGGCGTCTGCTCCTGGGATGCAGCTCACTGCCACAGCTCTAGGAAATGGCTCCTCGTACCTGGTATCACCCCTTCAAAAACCTGCAAGGCTGTGGACACAGCTGCTCAGCCACTGTACCCTGCATCCATCATGAAGCAGAGCAGATGTCTGCTAGCTAGACAAGAGTCCCAGAAAGCAAAATGGGCCTGGAGCTCACTGCAAGGGGTCTCCCCCCGGCTATGTGACAGGGAAAGCAAGAGCCAGACAGGCAGGAGCAGGAGATGCAGCAGAGCCTCTGCCAGCCCTGCCCAGAAGCAGAGCAGTCATGAAAGCCTGCAGCTCCTGCAACCTCAGCCTGGGTCACCTTCATTGTCTTCCCTTCCCTCCACTTTGTTACAGGCCCAAGCGAGGTTTCTCCATACAGATCTGGACTGAAAACAGGTAAGAGCCAGGCAAGTGGGAAGAGCTGCATGCCCTTCCAGAACAGTGATATATCCCAGTTCCCTGGAACAAAACTGTACTCTGCAAGCCAGATTCCTCTTTCCTTCACAAAACACCAAGTTGCCTGATTACAGATATGAAAGGTGTTCGTGCCCCATCTGGCTCATAACAGGGCCCTTTTTCCCTGCCCCCACCCCGAAAGTTTAACTCCAAGAGGCAGCTAAGCTCCTAGCTCCACCAGAAGGGAACACTAGCAGTGCCAGGAAACAGAGTGTGTGAAGGCACAGTGGTGGTTGGCACTGGGTGAGCCAGGTAGATGGTCACAGAGAGGGCTGCAGAAGCCACATGAATGACCCAAGCCTTGCTGTCCCCAGGGAGCTGCCCTGGAGACAGGTTTACTTGCCGCAGCACCCAATGTATGTGGAAAAAAAAAAAACCCCTAGAATGTGTTGGTCAAAAGGACTGCTCTGATGCCTCTGATGAAAAGGGCTGTGGTGAGTCTCTCACAGCAGGTCTCCTGCGTCAGGACACAGGTACCCCACTGGGCCACAACCCCACACTGCAGCCCTCAAAAGCTGTAACACCAGTAGGCTTTTTGGTCACTGGCAAGAGCCAAGGACAGGGCACAATTTGTTAGGCTGACTGAAGATGTCTGCACCGGGATGAGAGGAACTGTAGCACAGAAACACCTCAGTCCCTCTGCCAGCTGTGAAGGGGAATGATAAGATAGAGCTAGGCTGTTATATTCTCATGAACCAGTGAATCCCATGCACCCAAGCTGCAGCTCTTTGCAAGGGTGTAGACAACCATCTGCCACAAGAAGCCTGGCCACAAGGGCATGCCCAGCCCCATCTCAACCCACCCTGGCAATCTGGAGCTCAGACTCTTTTGGCCTCAATAAGCACAGGTGAGATATGGCTTGATCACAGACAGCATCATGAAGACAATAGCTGGAAAAGACAAGAGTAAAGGCGGAGCACAGAGACCCAATGACCTTCAGGCATCCTCCACCATCACTACTAGAGGTAGAGAGCCCCTCACACTGCCTTTGTAATGTTACCCTAGGCATAAACCTCGGGAAGCCAGGACACCGCGATGTTCAGGACGACCCTCCTACATATGTTGACAGGGATGCAGGTCCAGGGACAAGCACATATGCTCCTGGTGGGCTGGTGTGCTGGACAGGCTTTGCATGTCTGCAGGCTTCTGGCAGCAGATCAGGAGACAGTGGCTGGGCTTGGGATACTACCCGAGACTTTTCTCTCATGACTGGACTTGCTTTAAGGGGTTTCAGGGACGAACCCATCACGGGTCACTGAGTTGCAAGCCCTTTCCAGGATTGCAGGTTAAAGTCTGCTCTCCTGCAACAGCCGTAGCAATGCCCTGGTACTTGGTAATGTGCTAGGAGAGGCTGGAAGCATGCGTTGAGCTGAAGCAGATTTTCCCACTTGCCCTAGAGAGCACTTTGCAACATGTGCCTGCTTCTCCCTGTGACAGGGTCCAGCTGGCAGAATTCCAATGCACTTGCATCATCTCTCTCCTGCCTTTCAGACTGTGGGAGCCGCCCTGCCATGCAGACTGCCACCAGGATAGTAGGAGGTTCGGAAGCATCCAGAGGGGAGTTTCCATGGCAAGTCAGCCTGCGAGAGAACAATGAGCACTTCTGTGGTGCCGCAATCCTCACAGAGAAATGGCTGGTGTCTGCCGCTCACTGCTTTACTGAGTAAGCTCTAGCTAGGCTCCTTTTCTTGCCCCATTTCCAAAAGCTGCCATCTCATAAGGTTTCTACTGCGCTCAGACTGCTCGATCACTGTTGGTTTCCTTGCCCTGCCAGCTTTAGCCATGGGAAATTCATGTCCTGAAGCTGACAGCAGGGGGACAGGCAGGAGAGGACACCAAGAGGCAGTGGCATCACCTGTGGTTTGCAGGGCAATTCTGCTGGCTCCAGGCCTGCAGAGTTCCAGTTGTGTGTCTTCCAGGTTTCAGGACCCAGCCATGTGGGCAGCTTACACTGGGACCACTTCCCTCAGCAGTACAGACAGCGGCGCAGTGAAAATGGACATCGCAAGGATCATCTCGCACCCCTCCTACAATGCAGACACAGCTGACTATGATGTGGCTGTGCTGGAGCTGAAGAGACCCGTGGCCTTCACTAAATACATCCAGCCCGTGTGCCTGCCAGATGCTGGGCATCACTTCCCCACCAGAAAGAAGTGCCTTATCTCTGGCTGGGGCTACCTGAAGGAGGATTTCTGTAAGCAAAGTCCGGGGGGCAGCGGAGGAGGCATGGTGGGAAAGAAGCAGAGCAGAAGCACACCAGGGAAGGCTAGAGAAGGGCAGTGGGGTTGTGCCCTGGCCAGACAATGTGGGCTGTAACACAGGGAGTTGGTCTCTCTGCAAGACTCCCTGGGGGGAGCTCACAGTCACATTTCTCCCATTTAGTGGTGAAGCCGGAATTCCTGCAGAAAGCAACAGTGGAGCTCCTGGACCAGACACTATGCTCCAGTCTCTACAGCCATGTTCTCACAGATAGGATGCTGTGTGCTGGCTACCTGGAGGGGAAAATTGACTCCTGCCAGGTGAGAAACTGCCCACGGGAGCTGGCACACCTCCCTAAATGAGGCTTTTCCTTCCCCATATACACTCACAGGTTCAGGCAGTTCTTTTGGCTACTTAGTTATTTTTCTCTATTTCCTGAGTTGTAAAACAGGGCTGATGTTACAGACCTACCTGGCAAGTCCTCAGATTAAAGTCACCTTAGCACCGGCTAAGGGCAACAGTGGAAGCTAAAACATGCACAAAAGTTTTTGATGAACAACTTAGTTAGCATTTATCCAGCCTGAAACTGCATGCAGTCACCTGGAGAAAATCCTGACTTCCACAATGTGTAGGGAGAAAGCACTTTGTTGTGAGCCAGGGCAGCTAAATCAGAGATGCTCTGATGCTTCTGCTCCTCTACTTAAGACCTGCTGGCAGTGAGAGTGCTGAACCTCCCAGCTTTGATTTTTATGGAAAAGAGAGACAGGAATGATTCACCCTGGCAAACAGCTGCAGAAGAAAAGAAGACATATCATATGGGAAATGGAAGAAGAAGAAGAAGAAGAAAGGGGGGAGGGAAAGCAAAAACATGTGCCCACCAGCAGAAATGACTGCTTGAGCCAAAGCATGAAAAGCTATGACAGGAAGAAAGTGATTTCCATGGATGTTCCTGCTGTATCACAGGTCATCCCAAACCGTAAGCTGCTAGCAGAGCCACTGCACTTCTGTAGTGGCAGCGCTTTGTACGTCTGCAAATACTCAAAAACCAGGTGCAGAACAAAAACACTGGGGTAGGAGACAAGGCTGAAAGGTTTGAGGTTGGACGATGAACTCAACCTATCCTCCCTTACCACAGAATCACAGAATGGTGCAGATCGAACAGGACCTTTAAAGATCATCTAACCCAACACTCCTGCAACCTACAGTAGGTTCTTCAGTACCCTATCCAGACAGCTTTTGAATATTTCCAAGGATGGAGACTCCACTACCTCTCTGTTGCAGTGCTCTGTCACCCTCACAGCTTATGTGCAGATAGAACTTCCTGTGTTTCAGTTTATGCCTGTTGCCTCTTGTCCTGTCGCTGGGAACCACGGAGAAGAGTCTGGCCCCATCTTCTTGACATCCTCCCTTCAGATACTTGTACACATTGATGAGATCCCCTCTCAAGTCTTCTCTTCTCCAGGCTGAACAGGCCCAGCTCTCGCAGTCTTTCTTCAGAGGAGAGATGCTCCAGTCCCCTCATCATCTTGGTAGCCCTCCGCTGGAATCTCTCCAGTAGGGCCATGTCTCTTATACTGGGGAACCCAGAAGTGGACACAG